AGCTCTGTGTGACTTCTTCCTCTTCCCAAAGATGAAAATTCAGCTAAAGGGAATGAGATTTGAGACGATAGAAGAGATTCAGGCAGAATCGCAGATGGTGCTTGACAGGCTGGCAAAGAAAGATTTCCAGGGATGCTTCCAGGCTTGGCAGCGGCGCTGGGATCGTTGTGTTCACTCCCAGGGGAACTACTTCGAGGGTGATGGATGAATTTAATACCTGAGATAAGTGTACGGGTTGTTATAGGCGCAGTCTTGAAACTTTCCGATCGTAACTCGTATATACAGAATGTTTCGAAAAGATATATACAAACGTTTAATGAATAATTTTTTTTAATATAATTACACAGGCGAATCTAGTTTATGTGTTAAAAATGACCACGCTTAGCTTTGTTGCGCATTTGACAGCGGTGAACAACTGACTGACAAGCAGCCACAAAACGTGGTGCTGTTTACTCTGTATCTTCTTACATGTCTGTTTTAATATTATCCTCACAAAGTCTAAGTCCCCCAAAATAATATTTTTCCTTCAAGTTTTCCTACTAAAATTCTGCACTCTTCAGCTATAGGATGCCCTGCACATTTCATGGCGTACAGACACTCATATATAGCTGATAGCCCTTTCTACCGCACTTACCCTACAAACTAGACCGACTGGTCGTTCAATATATCCTCAACTACCCTCCATATCTCAACGCCTCCTTCTAAATTCGCTACCGAGGACGTTCCGTGTTATTATCAGAAGGAGTCTTCTTGACAATGGTTCTTCTACAACACGGATTCAGCCATACGGATATGTATAAGACCTGGGGGTTTGATTCGTATTCATTCAGTTCAGTTTAGTGAATGGAAACAATTAGAAAACTTCATTTTCATTTTAATGGGAAATTCTGGATTCTTAATACGCGTTGGTTTAAATCGTCACCAGTTTTACATGAAAACAAAGTTTGCCAATATTTATGACTGATTATTCGTTGTGTAATTAAAATACTCATAACTTACGTAGATGTCCTTTTTGAGGCTCTCATTCCTCTCTTTGAATTTTTCAAGTTTTCTTCTCGGAATTGACAGCGATAACTTCTTTACGACGGCATAACATATAGTGGGAAAAGTCCTCTCAGAGAAACAGGTACAGAGCTTGACAAGTTCCATGAAGATGGTCCTCCACGGCTGTGTAATTGAAAAGGAAGCATACATCAACATAACTGATCTAGCGTCTTCGTCGTAGTAAAAACCACAAAAGAAGACTCACCTACAAGCAATAATAACAATCAGTTTAAATAAATTGCTCATTGAACTTGTAATCGTTTGCAGAATAGACAAATTATATCGAATGTTTATACCTTAGGATGGCTCTCAATTCTGTGAACGGATCTTATGTCTTCTAGTTGTGTAATTATTGGCACAGAGAGATCATGGGCATACTTCAAATCCTTGATATCAACCTACAAAAACAGTAGAGATTGCATAAGTTAGTACCCGGTTTGCTGTTGAAAGAAATTTAATAACATATTCTCTAACCTTCAATCGATGTTGGTGGGAAACTGAACATAATTAATAAACAGGTAATTTGAGTCTTTTATTGTTCACGTGTCATGTGGTAAATGGTTTAATTAGTAAAATCGGTTCTGCGCTTTTAAACAGGAAATTATATAAATTTTAAAGCGTGATACAAAATATGAGTATTAAAACTTTGATTTTTTAAATTTAACTATCTTTGATAAAGGTCGAGCAGTGCCGCTTAGTCGCTGGGACCGTGGGTTCGAATCCCATTCAAGCCATGGATGTTTGTCCTGTGTACAGGTAGAGGCCTTGCGACGGGCCGATCACTCATCCAAGGAGTCCTACCGAATGTCTATAGATCAAGCCAACGAAAAGTTGGGACCCGCAGTGCTCAGGCACTTGAATAACTCCTTCCCAGTATCCCAGTATCCCAGTTTATAAAAGTTAGAAATATGGACAATAATATAGATTGTCATATGTTTGTGGTTTACAAATTCATATCCGCGTGTATTTGTTGAGAAAACTCTGTACTTCCAATATCAACAACAGTAATCAATAGTGACTCAAGTTTCAGTAGACAACTGCCATTCTACACACTTTTTCCACGAAAATCGAGACCGAGTGAATATCACTCATACTTCGTGTTTGGAAGTTCTCAGGTTCAGATCTCGGCTTCGAGGCCTTCTTAAGCTTTTGGTACTTATCGTAAGTCCCTGCAGGTAAATGTCGGGGTAGTACCTTAATGTGGGCCACGATCCCACGATCGATTTCTCCCACATAGTTTCAAATTAATTATACACTAATTATCGTATCATTCGACTCTGTAAAGTCTGAGCTACTGACAGCGTTGTTAAATAAACTGTCTATATAAATAGCTCATACATTTATTCCGAATCAAAACTGGAACATACTTTTCGCATCTCTTATTGACTTCATTGGTAAGACTTATTTTTGTCACCATTAGGAGTTTATTGTAACATTTATTACAGAGGGCCTAAGATTGAGTTAGTTCTATGTATCTGTGAGGTTCAGAAGCGTCAACATGACGATATTATTTAACTCTGGATTTGTTATTAAATTGAAGGAATGCTCACAGCGTGTACTAAAACCTAAGGAAGAATTAGTGCGGTAGGAATTATATATAAAATAAATATTCAGGAACAGTGTCTGTAAGCTGCACAAAGACAGGTGTAAGAAGTAGTAAGCAGAATGCGTCACATCTGTATTTTTATGAAAGTAAATATTTGCCAAAGAAATTTACAGAATGAACTGCAAAGATATAAAATCAAAATTCGGAGATGCCCTCATGGTCGGGCTGTTAAATAAGTAATTTATATTTTATTTTACTCGTCGCTTAAGTTTGGTACTCTTAGTGTACAATTTGGCTGCACGCGACAGAGACAAGCGACCGAGGCAGGAGACAGAGTTACGAGACCGAGACTGGTCGCTTCCTGTCTGCTCTCTGTACAATCGTATGAAGTACAATTACGAGCGCGAGACAAAGACAGGAGACCGCTCTCGGACCAGTTGTGTCTCGCGACGGGCTCAGGCAGCACGTGTGTTGTTGAGTAAAATAATGGCAGAAATTAAATTTACTGGTGACCAAGATGAGCAATTGGTAGAATTAGTAGCAGATAACCGACCACTGACCACCGACAGAAAGATCCTTCTTCACATCTGGTTTTGAATATTGAACTCGTAGGTTTTCTTTGTTTCTTTCGCAACAAATAACACAGCAACACATCATC